TTTAACTCTGATTTTGCATTGATGCCAATGGTATTATGTGTATTAATCATATCATTGACCGTATCTTTCAAGTTATAAATCTTATCACCCATTTACTCACCTCAGGTTATTTCAAACGTGTATGCAATTTTTAGACAGATGTGTCTGGCATCAATTCAAAACCAGCTTCAGGTTTTATAACCACTGAGTTAAATGCAAAAGACTCAAAACAGTAAAACTAATATTATAAAATAGTTCAGACTCTAAATTCTGAAACCAGTTGCATAAACTTAGACACTATATTAAGACAGTGTTTTAAAAACTAGTCTGACCAGCTAGCAGTTCATCAAGGGGTGATGAGACTTATTTTTCGGATTCAAATTAGTCCAATTTATGTTTTTATGTAACCAGCCTAAAAAAGATATGACCAGTCTTAAATAAAAAAAATAGATGACTAACTTGTAAGACTAGTTTAAGCATTTTATGCAACCAGCCATTTATTAGATGAGACATATTCAAAGCTGAAAGTTTGAGGTCAGTAAGATTGTTTTAAGAAGCCTCTTATGCTAGGCTCTATTTATTTGATCAAAAATACAGTCAAACCATAATATTGTGAAATATTACTACAATTGAAAAGTATTACAACAATTGTTTTCTATTTGAATATATTTTAAAATGTAATTTATTCCTGTGATGCAAAGCTGAATTTTCAGCATCATTCCTCCAGTCTTCAGTGTCACACGATCCTTCAGAAATCATTCTAATATGCTGATTTCTTATTATTATCAATGTTGAAAACAGTTGTGCTGCATTGTAAAAGTATTTACTTTCACTTTTGATCAATTTAATGCACCAATTGAATAAAAACATTAATTTCTTTCCAAACAAATAAATAAATAAAAACCGTACATGGAACATGGGGATGAGCAGCAATAGTTGTAACACTCACTAAATATCAAATTTTACAATTTTAAGTAACATAAGTAATAATTTTAAACTTACACAACAATGTTAAATGTAAATTGGCTAAATAAAAATGACTTTGTAATTTCTGGTTTGAATTGTTATTTCATTTATAACAAAACAAGTGCATTATTTGATCCTAAACATTCCATTATTGTTTCCAAAGGCAGTTGGCGGAAATGCCTGCGAGTCTTTCTTTGGTTAGCCTGACTTCCTCTGCTAATATTATAGTTTATATCACTGTGGAGCCATTGTTTTCAGAGATACGGTTTAATATTCAAGCCTACATTTGTAGTGGAGGTGGGCAGTGCCACAAAAACATATGACGATATGAGTAATTTTAGATCACGGTAACTACATATATATATATTATCAATGTTGAAAACAGTTGTGCTGCATTGTAAAAGTATTTACTTTCACTTTTGATCAATTTAATGCACCAATTGAATAAAAACATTAATTTCTTTCCAAACAAATAAATAAATAAAAACCGTACATGGAACATGGGGATGAGCAGCAATAGTTGTAACACTCACTAAATATCAAATTTTACAATTTTAAGTAACATAAGTAATAATTTTAAACTTACACAACAATGTTAAATGTAAATTGGCTAAATAAAAATGACTTTGTAATTTCTGGTTTGAATTGTTATTTCATTTATAACAAAACAAGTGCATTATTTGATCCTAAACATTCCATTATTGTTTCCATTAACCTTTGCATAGTTATACATTTAATTAACATTGGAAATTACTGTAGACATGTCCAAATAGTTTGAGGCAAACTTTCAAAGGTTTAAAGTAAACATTTAACAAACATCTATAAATGAACTCAAACTAAAAAGTGTTACAACTACCCCTTCTCTACTCCAACGCAGTTATACACCTGAGACTGCCATCTTATCCCAGCGTTGCCCTCATTTCACTCAGTCTTTGAATAATGACTGTGTGTCCGAGGCAATGTGTCAAAGAGGAAACAAATTACAGGAAATGATATTTTGTTTCCCATCCGCATTGCAGACCTCACATCCATCTTCGCTTTTCAAAGATTGCTCTCCTAAAACAACATAAACACATTGAGTTTATGCATAAGCCCCTTGACCTGCTCTTTTCTCATATGTGTCATAACATGAAACGCTCTCTCACTTTGTTGTGACAGTCCTGCGAGAGACAGAAAATATGAGTTCTGTTCACTCCGAGAGGAACGGCTCATTATGTTTCACGATTGTCGGCAAGGTTGAAGAGGCATAAAAGGATTGACACTCAAAGCGTGACGTCAATATGAGCCCTTTTCAGCATGCTGGCCTTCCCACAATACACCACTTGTACGGTTTATCTCTTCAAATCAGCTGGAGGTCTTAGGCAGCCATTACCTCAGATTGAGCTGTATTGGATTTTTGCCTCACTCAATCATTCGGGAGCGTTTTTTTGCCTTTGGAGTTTGATCACAGACTATTTTGGGGCAGCAAGTAAAATCTGATTTTGTGTGAGTGTGTGTTTTTCGCTTTCGGTGTTTGGACCCTTGCTATTAAATCATAAAATCATGAACAGATGTTGTGCCGCACAACGTCCGGCTGGTTTTGCTTGCCTTTCAAGCCATTCAGGGCACTTCTGCTAATGGTAAAGCTTCAAAATCTGGCTCAGTCTTCATTTTGGTGTTTGGTTGTAATTGTGGGTAAAAATCAAGAATGGGTAATTCTTAATTTAAGCTCATTATTAATTTTTACCTCCAACTATCTTGAGAGTTTGTATACTCTCTAGTAGTCTGCAATACTAAATGGACTAGACGGTAATTATTTCTTAAGGTTATGTGCGTGGAAGTAAATATACACTTTTGCATTGGGATGGCAATTATTTTCTGTAAAACATTCTGTATTACAACATTGTGGCAAGGAAGAAAAGCATTGCTATGCATTGCTGCCATTATAATGATCAACAGATTTTGGCCCTATAGTAGTTCTCAAAAAGGAATTTTTAAACGGTGCTTAATTATCGCAGATAAATGATTCTTGTATAAAGCAACTACTGTTCAAATAAGTTAGTGCAAGGGACGGTTTGATCATAACCGGTCTCATCTTTTATGTAAATGTGAATAATTTCTTAAAAAGAGCTTTTGGATTTTGTTTCCATAATTTCCTGATCATGTGGAGGGAAACTTCTTTTAATCAGTTCCTGTCCGCTATCAATCAAAATGCCAATAAGAAAACAGATAATTGATTTGCATTACCAAGAAGAAAGTACACAGGAGATGTTGTTTTAAAGCATTTCTCCTTGCAACATTTCCGCTGGGGATATTTAAGATGTCTTATTAAATTCAGTTCCATATAATCCATATAATGCATTCATTTCCTGTCAGGAGAGGATGTTTTAAGAGAGCTTCAGGCTTTATCTGAATTATGATCAGACATTTTGTCCAGCCCCAGATCTGTAATATAATCAGATTTGTGTTTTTATTCAAAAATCTTGATCCATTAAATTTAAAATGCACTTTTTTTCCTCAAAAAAATAATGCTTTTATAGGTATATTTATTAAAAAAATAAACATTTAAATTGTATATATAATATAATATATATATATATATATATATATATATATTACATGGAAGTTTAAGACACAAAGACAAAGCAGATGTATAATGGTCAAGGCTAAATTAATTTTATGTATATATAAAATTATATAATAAATTATATAAAGAAAAATAAATTACAATATATACAGTATAATGTACTTTATGTAATTTAATATATTTTAATGTATTTCAATGTTTATTTTTTGTATATAAATCATTATATATATTATATATATATATTACATATATTTAAAATATTATATATAATTATTTAAAAATATAAATAAATGATATTTATATAATGTATTTTTACATTTATATTATTATATTATATATATATATATATATATATATATATATATATACACACACATTAGAATTTGAATAGCAAAACTACCCTACAATGTCTTATTTCATAAATTATTTATATGAAAATATAAACCTATATTTCATAACAAAAACAATGTGCATTAAAGCTTGATTTGTGCATAAAAATGCTTCGTGCTCTAAATTTTTTATAGAGCTTAAGGATACATTTGCAGACTGTGAGGTTGTGTGGAAAGCACTCATATCTAGATGTTTTGGATGTGTATTATGATAATTACTAACTGTGGGTATGCACTACTGCATTTAGAATAATTCGGATTCATCAGGATATCATGTTGTGCTCTAAGGCTTCTGTTTTTTTTTTTTTAATAATACATTCC